AATTGCTCCGATTTCCTAGATCAGCATCTTTACTGATAGAAAAGTGAAACTATAGTTGGTATTTTTGGGGAGTCAAAATTCAAAATTTCTAGAAGTTTTAGAAAGAGTTGAGAAAAACAAAAAAATAGGTGACTTTTATACAAAATCAATTTTTGAAAAATCGATTTTATTTTTTTGGTGTATCTCAAACCTAACTGTAGAACCTTGAAATTTTCAACAAATATTTATATTAGAATTCTCCATAAAACATTTTCTCAATATTTTGACTATTTTTGAGCTAGTTATAGGCTTGAGCCCTTGAGAAATTTTTCCATTTTCCTAAATTTTTTTAAAATTATCCTCGATAAAATCTTTTTCTTTTAGTAAAAAATCTTGAAAATGTAATGATAGGTTCCTTATAATTTTTATTAATGGAAGTTTTAAAAATACATAGGCTCAATTATTTTTTATATTCTTATAAAGTTCCAATTTTGACAAAATTCATAAAAGTTTTTTTTTCATACCTAACTTGAGACATTTTAATAGAAGGTTTCTAACAAGTTTTTGTAATTCTATCAAACTAAAAAAGTTCCCCAGGAAGCCACGTTTTCGATCTTTGTTAATTTTTTTTAGCTACTAAATTTGATTACTTTTACAAGTGTGATAGGCTGATACAATGTCTCCGCTCAGAATATTTTTTCGTTTACAATAATTGATCAATGTAATTTAAATATAACACATCCATTACAACGACATGCTTGACACCCACTGTACAGCAGAGCGGTACCCACTTGTCTACCTTTTTTCATATTGTATTAGGTGCCTACTATATTTATAGACTTATTAATTTATCAATATTATTATATTAAGTATAAATATATTACGTGTTTACTGTTTTATTATTAATTAATTTACTTATTCATAGTATTGTAAATACAAGGTACTATATTTTTAACACTTTTCTTAAGTTTGGTTTCACGTCCGTCTGTGATCAAATCTTGCGCGCTCGATTTGAGGCACTTTTTGAAGATGAAAAATTCTGAAAATTGGTATAGACCTTGGTTTTTGATGACAATACAATAATCCATAAAAAAAAATTTTTTAACTAAAAAGTAGAATATAAAAAATTAAAAAATTTTCTTTTAAAAACACTTTTCTAAAAAAACAAAAAAATAATGAAAAATTTAAAAGTGTGTGGCGCTCTTACACTTGACATATTATACCACACACTTTTAAATTTTTCATTATTTTTTTGTTTTTTTAGAAAAGTGTGTTTTTATTAAGTATATTTGCGCGTAGCCCCCTTATACCTAGGTAGGTATATATCATAATTCATAATATTTAATATTTAAATAAATGCAACTACCAACTGACGATAATGACATTTTAGGCCCCACAAATTTACTCTGCCCCGGGCCCCGCAAATCGTCCGGACGGCCCTGTACTGTACTGATATTAGGAAAAAAAGTCCCCGGTAAGAAAGTCCCACGGAAAAAAAGTCTCCAAATTAATATTTGATTTAAATTCATTATCATATATAGGTAATAGGTACATAGCCCATAGGTAATACATGTTACATATTTTATTGAACATAATTAACAAACAACTAAATTAAATAGGTACCTTACAATATGTCCTATAATATTATTTAAAAAATATAAAAATGTATTTATTTAGATATGTACCCTCGTAAAATAATTAAAAATTGAATACAATATGTCCTATAATATTATTTAAAAAATATAAAAGTGTAATTATTCAGATATAAAAGATCTCTTTCTTATATTTTGACCTATTTGCTTTAAAAAATTAGGAATATCTGCTGATTTGTCTTCATCAAAACGTTGACATAAAATGTTTAATCGAACTTCATTTTTTTTCAAGACTTTATTTTCAATGAATTTAAAATGTACATAATTATCTATATAAATACTTATCTACAATAATTTTTAATCCTAGAAAGGTACCTATTTAATTTAGTTGTTTGTTAATTATGTTCAATAAAATATGTAACATGTATTAGGTACCTATGGGCTATGTACCTATATAAATACCTATATGATAAAAGACTGAATTTAAATCAAATATTAATTTGGAGACTTTTTCCGTAGGACTTTCTTACCGGAGACTTTTTTACCGGGGACTTTTTTTCCGTTTACCGTACTGTACAGTAGAGCGACACCCACTTGCCTACCTTTTTTTACTTGTACAATGTACAGTTATGCTAATTTTTTTATTTATTTTTTTTTTTAAATGAAATATACAATCTGTACCCTGAGGCACAATAAGAATATGGGCTAAATTACAATGACATGAGTGAAGTGTTTTGCTTCTTCTTGGACGGTTTTTATTAGGTACGCTAATTTAAATTTAAAAAAATCTTGAATATCAAATCGCTAATTTGATAGAAGAATTGTCTATAATTGAAAAAAAAAATTGTTTAAATCGTACGCTTTCCAGCTATTTGGTGACGATTTTATGATAATATTATATTATAATATTATTATATAATAATATTATAAATAATATTATTATATAATATTATGTAGTTCCATTTTGCGTAAACTTCGCTAGTAATAAGAATACGAATTATAACATCGAAAAATAAAATAATATTATTCATTGACAGAATTATTATTTTCGTATCGACGTATTTGGCTATTTATAATCCGTGCGCGGCTGCGATAAATAACCAGTTTTGACCTATGGTGCGGTACAGCTGCATATGTACGCGGGGTAGTGGTAGAAGTACTATTTCAGAATGCTGCCGCTGTAGTCGTTCTAGCAGCACATGACGACGGCAAATTCGTATTTTTTTTGCCCAAAACATGGTTTTGTACTTCCAATAGTTCTCAGGCCTCGTTGATCGTAGAAACATGATTTTGGTATCAAAATAATCACGAGAAGTTGTACTAAATATTCTTGGAACAGATTTTCGATATCTAATTTTGTCGATTTTATATAATTTAAAAAAAAAATGAAAATATAGTACAAACTTCAGATACAAATAAAATTGGTTAGAAAAAAAATTTTAAAATTCTGTTCCAAGAATATTTAGTACAACTTCTCGTGATTATTTTGATACCAAAACCATGTTTCTACGATTAACGAGGCCTGAGAACTATTGGAAGTACGAAAGCATGTTTTTCGGTCGATTTTTTTCTACTGTGACGGCCTCTTAATATGTAATAATACAATTATTTTCGAAGTTAACCTTAAAAGCGGGCCCACTAAGTGTATGGTGTCCCGGGGCCCAATTGATCCTTAATCCTTAATAATTGCATAGGCCGCTTCAAAGACATACTAGTATAAGAAATTGCCATGCATGTAGGTTAGGTTAAGTTAGTTATTTATAATTATAATTAATGGCAATACATAAAAATATCATAGGCACCTGTAAGTAGTTCCGTATATTTTTTTTTTATAATCGAATAATTTATTTGTGCATTCGAAACCATTAAACATGGTATAAATATTATGATAAAATTAATTAAATACAAATTATGAGTGCAACTAAATTAAAGTTTGTGGAAAACAAAACGTTATTATAATTTAGACATATGACATATTGAGTACAATGTTTGTTTTTAAATGTTTGTTTTTTTTTTTTTTTTTTTTTTTTTATATTTAAATCAAATATTATAATATAATACTATAAGTACTAACTAAAAATTCAAAATAAATATTGAGGTAATAATCCTTATCATATACCAGTACCAGTGTCACCCTGGCCACGGCGACGGGGTCCATCCGTTTTTTTTTTAGGGTCTCATAATTTTTTTTTTATTTGCTTGACGTGTTTCTGGTCTATATTATTATAGGGAGTAGGGACTCTAGAGTACGAAATTTTTCTGTACAGGGCCCAGATTCTTACTCATAGTATAGTGTGAGCAGGCCATAATAGTACAATACAATTTGAAACATAGAAGTTTTACAGCCACAGAACACTCCTTAAGTAGTAAAAAAAAATATCAAAAATTTAAAAATATGGTCTTTAAGTATACTTAAAAATTCTAAGAATTAGAATTTGAATACATTTTTTTTTTAAAAGAAAAAATGGTAGTGAACATTTTAAATAGTTTTTTGGGGCCTTTGTATTTCATTATGACTTATGGGGCCCCTTAAAAAGCTGATCCATGGGCCTCTGGTGTGCCAGGCCGACACTGGCTGGTACCTACCTACTACAATTATTTTTTTTTTTTTTTGCAGTTTTGAACCGACGGCGTCGCGGGAACTGCTTTCGCATTCTTCCGCGAAACCTACTACAATTATTAAAACGAATAGTTACATATTAATATATATTATAGCAGACAATAAGAATAAAAATAAATCTTATTATCAATATGTTAATGTAACGAGGTTATTTAAGAGTTATTTATTATAAAATATAAAAATATATTATGTTTTAAAGAAAATTACATGCTCATCTAACTATCTAAGTATAAGTATTTCATAACATAATGAATATAAAGATATAAATAGTTGTATACAACTTGTTGTAGAGTATGTTATTTTCGAAAGAATAACCTCAAAAGATATTTATCGAACAACGAAAAGAACATTGTGTTTTAAATTAACTCATTGAGTGACTTGGTGAGATCATTTCTTGGTTATTTAGATTATTTATCCTCGAGAAATGATCATAAGTGTATAACCTATACAATTTTTTTGAGGAAAATGCATTGAATACTACGATTGGTAGTGATTTCATTCTATATGGGTCGAATAGGTACAAGATTATACAAGTACAGAAACGTATGGCTACAAATACTATTTTCAGACTTTGTCTTTGATTTTTAGTACTAAATTGATTTAGCAAGGGATATGTAGGAGTTCAATTTAACGAGTGACACGATGACGTGTTTCGGATGGGCCGGCACGCAAATGCGACTGCACGAGCTGCTCACAGACAACGTTCAAGGGGTTGATAGTTGTAAAGAGTGGGTGAGGGTTCGCGACTTATGTGATGTTCGGTGCGATGAGGGGTGAACAAATAAATAGCTTACGACGGACAGGACGCGTCACGATTGTGTACCGGTGCTGGACAGTTTGCTCTTGTCTTCGTTTTCAGATGATGAAGAGCTGTTGTAGTCGTCGAGGTGATCTTGGATGGCGGACAGCGACATGCCTTTGGTCTCAAACAGGAACAGGTACGCGAGGATGGCCCACGCGGCGTTGACGAAGCAGAACACGAAGAACATGATGTGCACTCCGAAAGCGTCGCTGATGGGCAGGTACGCTTTGTTGATGATGAACGAGCCAAGGGATGAGACGAGGGACACCACGGTGACGGCGTGCGACTTGACGTTGGCCGGGAACATCTCACCGACCAGCGCACCAGGCACGATACCGGCGCCCATCGAATAGGCCATCGAGAATAGGACGACACACACTGACGGGCCCCAGTTATCGGGCCGGTCATCGATGTACAGCAGGCAGAGGGCATACGCGGCCGTTATGGCGGCCAAGGCCAGATGCGAGCCAAGGGTCAGCGGCCGGCGGCCGTAATAGTCAATGAGCGGTACCGCGACCATAGAGCACGCCAGTCGGACGACGGCAAACGTTATAGCCACGTTTTCGGGCCGGACCGGACCGTGTGTGGGCATCGTGGTGGTCGAGTAGGCCATCACGCAGCCGACGCCACCAGCGCGCTGTGCAAAACACGCTCCGGCCACCAGCAGCACCGCGGCCCGGTTGCCATCGTCAGTAAACAGCTCGCGATACGTACCGGGATCGCGCATGTCATCCTGCACGGCCAACATAATCTGGTTGAGACGGCGGTTGTTGTCGGCGCTCGTGGACCGCGGCCGGTACCAACGGAGAGCTGTCCTCGCATCGTCCATCCGACTCTTGGACAACAGGTAGTGCGGCGTCTCGGGCACGCGGATGACGGCCGCTAGGAACGCCAGCCCGATGACCAGCGAAAAACCGTTCATAACTACATACGGGACCCGCGGCCCTAAGGATAGGGCGGCGAGCATGCCTAGTGAGTCGGACAAGACCACGATCACTGTGAGCCGGCCGCGCGCCTGGTCGGCTGATATTTCGGCCATGAAGCCGGGCACGGAGGCGTACAACACAGCCTTGCAGAAGCCAGCCAACGAGCGGGCCGCAAATACGGCCCACCGGCTAGGCGCGAACAGAACCGCAAACGACGCGACCAGGGCCACTCCCACGGCCAACAGACACCCCTTTCGGCCGGCGTGTTCGGCCAGCAAACTGGCTGGCCACGCACTCACCAGGTTGGCCAGGTCAAACGACGCCACGGCCCAAGAGTGGTCTTTACGGGTCAGCCACTCAGCCGGCGTGTCGGCTTCAGACCCCTTCGTCAGCGCCCACGATGGCCAAGCGGCCCACAGGCCCATCAAGACCTCACTCACTGACACTATTATAAATAATATTATAATATTATACAAGAAAATGAAAACATTGGTCATTCTCATATTAATATTATTTAATATTTATTATTAGTGCCTACTAAATGGTGCTACTTTGGTACTTGTTACGTACCTACGTATTTAGTAATTAAGTAATAACAATGTACGACGTAGCGCAGGTTTCTAATAGTACTCGACGATATAATTAATAAGGCAATTAGTATATTATAACACGTTAGGGACACTGTAAAAGTATCTCTCTAGGAAAGTCAACTATTCATACGAAGGATACGAGTCGACCAGCATACCAAGTACGAGACCCGGACGCAGTCTCATGACCGAATTTGGCCATTGATACAACCACCCACTCCAAAGGACTCGATCATATAAATACCAGCCCGGGACAAGAGCTCGGCAGACGGTTAGGGATACTCAAGACACTTGGAGGCAGGTCGTAAAACCACTCACAGTCTTAGTATCATTTTGGAGGCAGGTCGTAACACCACTCAAAATCTTAGTAACAATTCAGAGTCAGGTCGTAACACCGCTCACCTCTCTACATAAGCTTTATACATTGTAATTTTGTACTTAAATAAATACTCATAATAACCAAGTGCATCAAGTATTCATTTCCACGTTGATGTATATATCGACGTCAGTTGGGACGCAACAGAATTTTGGCGCTGTGGACAGGGTCTTCCAAGATACAAGGATCATTCAACAATATTTTTCGAAATATTTTGGATCAACTTCAATCAACAGAGGCAACTTCACCTTCGTGGATCACCGTTGAGCTGAGGAGTGCACGCTTCAATTCAACGACTCTGGGAAGACCGAACGTTTGTTACAATCCAACTACGGCGAGAGAGATCAAGCAACGAGATGAATACAGCAATGTTGTAAGCATAATTTATATAACCGTCTCCTTTGGTCTATTGGTCCATCGTAATTAGGGAAAATTATTAAAGAAAGGGCATATTATAAAAATATTATTAAAATATTATTGAAGGGCATATTATAAAAAGTTATTTAAAGAGGCAATTTTTTGAAGATATTATTGAAGTTATTAAAGGGCATTTATTGAAGTTATTTTTATGAATTATTAAAGGGCATTTATTGATTATTATTGAAGGGCAATTATTGATTATTATTGAAGATTATTTTGTGAACTATTAAAGGGCATTTATTAAGAAGTTATTATTATGAATTATTAAGGGTATTTTATATTATTTTGAGAATTATTGTGAATTATTACAGGGCATTATTGAGATTATTATTGAGATTATTATTAATTATTGAGGCCATATTTTTGAGTTCATCTTATTATTTAAGTACAACTCCCTTGGAATTAGCTACTCCATTGTATAGAACACGTGTAGATTTTGTAGCCCATGTTTTAAAGTCCCTAGCCCATGTTTAAAGCCCGCCAGCCCGAGTAGAAGCCCCAGCCGAATTTAAAGCCCAAATCGAATAAAAAAATATAATAAGTCAATTAAGATTATATTAAATGAGATTATAATTAAAGGATTAGAGTAAAAATAAATATTAATGAACAATAGTTCAGAAGGAAATATTAATGACGAATTTGAAACGATAGCTAGAGAAACGTTAGATAGAATAATTGAAATAATCGAAAACGAAAGTAATTTAGAAATTGACGTAAACAATACTGATAGCGAAATAGTTGACAACATAGAAATAAATAATTTAGACGAAGAATTAGATTTATTTAGTGAAGAAATACTTAATGAACGTATAGAAACTAAACCAATAACCAGTGATATATTAAATAAAAGTTTACGATTAATAAACCTAGAAGAGTTGAAAATAGTCCTACTACTAGCGCAATTCGTCAAGGGTTACGAAGTAGTAGAAATACTATACACACCGAATATATTCAACCAAAAAGAATAGTTAAAGTAAAGAAAATGCCAGGTAGTACCGACGGGAAATCCATAAGTGCGTTAGACGCAATAAAATTAATTCCTAACTATTCAGGACAAACTGAAATATATCCATTTTTAAATGCATGCGAAGTAATCATAAATACGGTAGATTCAGAACAGCACCCTTTTATGTTAAAAATGATAGCAGCTACTAAATTGTCAGACAGAGCTTTTAATGTAACCAGATATAAGGAAATTAAGGTATGGGAAGATATGAAAAAAATATTATTAGACGCATTCGAAACTCCCTATGGCGCAGCTAATTTACAAATCGAATTAAATATAATAAAATTAAAAAATAATGAAACCATATGCGCGTACAACAATAGAGTAGAAGAAATATACCAAAAACTATGTAACACAGTAGCCATAGACAAAACACCGGCAGTAGCACAAATATTACGTGACAATATTAGGGAACAAGCTTTAGTCAGTTATATAAACGGTTTAAGCGACCAAATAAAATTTGAAGTAAAAACAAAAAGTCCTACCTCTCTTGAACAAGCAATGCAAATCGCGTTAATTACCGAAAAAAATATTCGTACTCACAATGATGTACAAGAAATTTTCCGCGCAAATAATACGTACAACAATAGAAATGCTCATCAAAATAGGCAATATAATAATAATAATAATCAAAACACAGCGTACAACTATCGTAATAATATTAATAATAATAATACTAACAGAAACAATTCCTACGATAGGAATACTAATAGAAACCCGAATCCAAGAAGCAACAATTACAATGTTAGGCGTTGTCATACATGCAACCGCGAAGGACATTTTGCATCGCAATGCCGAATGAACAATGTAGCGTATAATAGTAGACCACCCAATCAGAATAATTTCACACGTCCACCCACTAATTATAATGCAAGGAGCGATACCTGCACTTACTGCAATAAACCAGGACATAATATAGCCGCCTGCTATAAAAAACAAAACGACGAGCGACGTAATAAAAACTCGGGAAACGAGCGGACATCTCACGTACCCCCCGGAGCACGTGCGATCAATCACATATCCGTGGACCCATCCGAGATTGTTACCCCATTATATTAACGAAAATAAACAACAATAATCACATAAAATGTAAATCACCCGCCTGTATAAATGAAGAATTAGAATTTTTAGTCGACACAGGTAGCGAAGTAAATATAGTAAAAAACAATATATTAAATTACGATATAGTAGTAGATAAAACACAAATAGTAAATTTAAAAGGAATTAACGATAAAATAATACAAACAATAGGCAAGCTTACAATACCTTTGATAATCCAAGGGCAAGAAATTAGCACCGAATTTAATTTAGTTGACGAAAACTTTCCAATAAGGAAAAATGGTATATTAGGAAATAGTTTTTTATCAGAAAATAACGCTGTAATTAACCTAGCCAATAAAACTCTAGTAATTAATGCTAATAAAAATAAACAAAAAGAGTTACTATTAACCCCAAGATCAGAAACAATCGTATCAATACCTATAGCAGCAAAGGATGTAGAAAGTAAAGATATTTTAATTCACAAACAAGAAATAATGGAAGGCGTATTTTGTGGAAGCGTAATAAATACCGTACAGAACGGTGAAGTAATAATTAGTATTTTAAATATAACCGAAAAACCCCAAAACATTATGTTAAGCAATTTAAATAAAATACGATATGATCATGAATTCGAATATAATACTCAGTCAATAGTACAAGACGATAATAAAAATAAACGCATAAAAGAAATAAGACAATTGATTAGGAGTGATCATATGGATAATGAGCAAAGGCAAACTATTTTGGAAATATGTGAACATTACCAAGACATATTTCATTTAACGGGAGACACGTTAACATATACAAATACGTTAACGCATAAAATTAATATACCGGAGAATCAGGAGCCCATATATAAGCGACCGTATCGCTTACCACACGCGCAAATGGCCGAAATAGATTCTCAAATCAAACAAATGGAAAAGGACGACATTATTGAACCCTCCTTTTCACCATGGAATGCTCCCTTACTTTTAGTAAAAAAGAAACTAGACGCGAGTCAAATACCAAAATTTAGAATAGTTGTTGATTTTCGAGCTTTGAATAAAGTAACGATAAACGAGTACCACCCACTACCTAACATTACCGAAATATTAGATCAGCTAGGACAATGTAATCTGTTCAGTATCATTGATCTTGCTTCAGGTTTTTACCAGATAAAATTAGATGAAAAAAGCAAAGAGCTTACAGCCTTTTCAACAAACCAAGGTCATTGGCATTTTAAAAAAATGGCAATGGGTCTTAAAACATCTCCATGTTCTTTCCAACGATTAATGAATAATGTAATGGCTGGTATCGTAGGCATAAAATGTTTAGTGTATCTAGATGATATAATAATATACGGCAAAGGGTTACTTGATCATAACGAAAAACTACGCGACGTATTCGAACGATTACGAAATCATAACTTAAAAATACAACCAGCAAAATGCGAGTTCTTAAAACAACAGTGTATGTATTTAGGTCATATAATTAGTGAAAACGGCATACAACCAGATCCTGCAAAGGTCGAATCAGTATTACGGTTTCCAGCACCAACAAACGTTAAAGAAATCAAATCGTTTTTGGGACTTTCTGGGTACTATAGGAAATTTATAAAATCTTATAGCTTAATAGCCAAACCAATGACAAACCTATTAAGGAAGGGCGTTACCTTTAACTGGGACACCCCTTGCCAAGAAGCATTTGATAAATTAAAAAATATCCTATGTTCGGAACCTATATTACAGTATCCAGACTTCACAAAACCATTTATCGTTACCACAGATGCAAGTGGAAAAGCTCTAGGTGCCATATTATCCCAAGGGGAAGTATCACGGGATTTACCTATTGCATATATATCTAGAACTTTAAATAAAAGTGAAAACAATTATAGTACTACTGAACTTGAGTGTTTAGCTATTATATTCGCAGTAAAAACATTTAGACCCTATCTATACGGAAGAAAATTTATTATAATGAGCGACCACCGCGCACTTTCATGGTTATTTAATTTAAAGGACCCCCTATCGAAACTCGCACGTTGGCGAATACTTTTAGAGGAATACGATTATGAGATTCGTTATAAACCTGGAGTATTAAATTCAAACGTCGATGCTCTGACCAGAATGTATACCATAAATGAAATAAAAGAGGAAAGCTATCCCGCATTTTTTAATAAATTCGAAACACAGTTAATAACTAATAAACACGTAAAAGAAGTAAACGGTAGTCTAATAGAAGCACCCGAGGAATATCACATAGTCTCGGAGATAGAAAAACATTATAATTTTATGTCAGGAATAAATTACGAAATAAAACAAAAATTTGGCAACGGTCAGAAATTAACACCTAGCAAAGCAATCGGGGAAGTAAATTATTTACGTGACAAAAATAGATATATAATATTCTTAACTACCAAAAGTAGAAACAAACAAAAGGCGACATACGAAAATATTTATTTGTCTCTATTGAATTTAAAACTATTATGTGAAGAACACTCATTGAATAAATTAGCTATGAATAAATTAGGTTTTAACGACCGATTAGAATGGACTCAAGTACGTGCTATGATTCGATATGTTTTCCGAAACACAGGAGTAGACATAATTATTTGTTCCAAGTTAGAATTTAGTGATGAGGAAAAATTAATCATATTCAAACAATGTCACGACTCCGTAACCGGCGGACACGTCGGAATACATAGAACCATAAAGAAAATAAAAACGCAATTTAATTGGCGAGGTTTAAAACAAGATGTAATCGAATATATAAAAAATTGTGCATCATGTCAAAAGAAAAAGGTCACGAATAAAAAGGTAAAACAACCGATGGTAATTACGACCACTAGTTTTGAGCCATTTGAAAAAATATGTTTAGATATCGTTGGCCCGTTGGTCACTACATTAGCAGGGAATACATATATATTAACAATTCAATGCGATTTAACAAAATACACCATGGGCGTTCCCCTCCCAAATCACCAAGCTAATACTATAGCCGAAGCATTCGTAACACATTTTGTATGCACACACGGTATACCACAAACCATATTAACCGATCAGGGAACCGATTTCTTAAGTAAAATATTTACCGAGGTATGCAAATTATTGCAAATAAATAAAATAAACACAAGTTCTTATCGCCCGGAGGCAAATGGAGCCTTGGAGAGATCACATAGGACATTATCAGACTACCTTAGACATTATGTCGATAAGAAATTAAACAATTGGGATGAGTACTTGCCCTACGCATTTTTCGTTTATAATACTACTGAGCACACATCAACGGGTTATCAACCATATTCTCTACTATATGGTAAACATTTAGAGATACCAATTAAGCTATCACGAGAACCTGAACCTAGATATAATTATGACAATTACTATTTTGATTTAAAACAGAAAATGCAGGAGGCTCATAAAATAGCAAGAGAAAGGCTAATAAAATGTAAAATAAAATCCAAAGAGAATTACGATAGCAATAAAAACCCCATAGAAATACACGTAAAAGATCAAATTTTATTAAGGGAACGCGCGCAAAAGAATAAACTAAATCCATTATGGACAGGCCCCTATGAAGTAACCGATGTATTAGACAAAGAAAATATAGTAATAATGCGCGGGAAAAGACACGTCACGGTGCATAAAAACCACGTGAAAAAATTCCACGAGAATCTAAGTTAAAAAAAAAAAATGAATAAAATACGAATATATAATTAATTAATAAGAAAACTTTTTAGGATCATGATGACGATCGTCATGCTCCAAGTTGCATTGGCACAACCAAAGCCGTATCAAACTTCGAAACTGTCCCAAGAAAATGGGATGTACTTTGAAAATCAGGGACCACTTCGATTAACAAATTCTGATTGGAAATTGATAATATATGTAAAATTAGATAACTTTAATCAACGTACAAAGGAAACTATGTATTTTTACGATAAAACTATAAAATTATGTGACGATTTAACAATAGTATACGAAGGCATGTTTAAAACACTTTGTGAAAATTTTAAGATTGCGTCCATCAGCCTTGAACAGGAAGTGACGAGGAAACGAGTTTATATGTTACAATCTATAGATGAAACAGATACAATTACCCGGGTAAGAAGGGGTTTAGTAAATTTAGTAGGTCGAATACAAAAAACATTATTTGGTACATTAGATGATACTGACGCAGAAACATACGATAAACAAATCGAGGAATTACAAACTAGTCGAAATAATTTATTAAAAATAGTAGAAAAACAAACTAGCATATTGAAAGCAACCGAAAATACATTTAAGGAGGCAACCCAAATGGTAGGTCAGATAAATAAACTTAGCACATTATACAATCGAATGGCAACAACGGTAAATCAAACCGTAATCAATTTAGATATCGTAGAAGCAAAAAGTAATATTAACGAACAAATAAATATAATAAATTTAATATTTCAACAGTTAAGTTTCGAAACCGATACAATTTGCGAAGTAATAATAGCCGCACAAGGTGGTATAATACATTCAAGCATAATATCCGCTATGGAATTACGTAAGCAATTAAAAGATATTTCAATGAACGTTCCAAAAGGACAAAGTTTACCGTTCGATTTAAATCAAATATCGTTATATGAACTAAGTAAAATGTCAAAATTAAATATAATTTACATAAACGAAACATTAATATTCGAAATAATAATACCACTAATAAACTCAGTTGATTTAACATTATTCCACGTAATACCACTACCAGTAGTAAAAAATGATCATTATATGCACATAATACCTGAATATGGGTACATAGCCATTTCAAAAACGCATGAATATTATTTAACATTATCGTTTAGCCAGCTACTGATGTGTAGACAAATTAATATGGGAACATTATGTCCGGAAACACAACCATTAAGACTAGGAGCCAGTGAGCTGCCATGTGAAGTAGAACTATTTATTAAACCATCGAGCATACCTAGCACGTGCCCAATACATTATCTAGACATCACTCGTAGTATTTATCATAAACTAAAATATCAGAACGCATGGATATATACAATAAAAACAACGGACAATGTAGCCATCTCGTGCGAGAATCGAGACCAGGCGATGAATATACAATTAAGCGGGATAGGAATATTAAAATTAAACGAGGACTGCAGGGGATACACACCACAAATGGTGCTAACACCGAATAGGCATTTAAATTCGACACATTATAAGGATTTTATATCAAACATAGGCATAACGTCAAATTTGACAATCCCCATTTCCATAAAAAAGAAAATAAGCAATGTCATAACACACACAAATTCTGTGGTAAAACTAACTGACTTGAGTCAATATTCTAAATCCATTGATGAAATAGAACAATTAATACAAGAAGAAAAGGACAAAACGACCACAAGGGATATAACCGATTTTCACACTTATATGTTTTATTTCATAATAATAATAGCATCGGGTATAATTATAATAAAATGTAAAAGAAAAATGAGTAATAATCGATCAGTAAATAGAGTTAGGCGACATTTAGTGTCACTACAGTCAGCTAGAGAAATGGACGAAGTAACACGTTTGTAAGTAAGATCACGTACACACACACTCTCAATTTCATGTTCCAATATTAAACACGTACCTTTCCTATTACTAAATAATATAATAATTAATAACCAATCGATGTTAGTATCTTGTCTTGTTCCAGATAAGACAATCACACGGAAAATCCAGATTACTTTTATTATACAACGCGTAAAAGACGTATAAAATACATAACAACAATGCCAGTACGGGAATTCATTCCTAGACGGGTATTATACCTAATGATGTTAGAATATTCGTTGAGGTACAACGATCACGTATACCAGTACACGATAAACAGTGATGGACCTACGTGTCTAAAAAACCATATGAGAGTAGCCAATGAACATTTACCGGTACCTTATACTACAGCGGAAATGCATAGAATTATGGAAATAATTACTATGACTCTCCGATTAACAATTTTAGTACGCGAAATACACGCACCCACATGTCTGGATTTGGCAAATTTAATAATCGAATTAATACAAGCCGCCGAGGCAGCTGAATAAAACTAACATAAGGGATTACATTTTAATAGATAGTAATACTAATATCTCGCAATGTAAAAATATTATCTAAATAAAGTTGTCTCACATTTAATCATTATATATATTTTACAGTGACAAAATCAAATTCATAATAGTGGACTTCGAGTTCACTAGTATAAATAAGACGGATCTGTTACTTATATCGGGGTCATTATCAAACAGTCTCGACAAATATAAGCCAGTTAAACTCGAAGGCAAACCAATCGTGTTAACTACCACCAATAAATTAAAGATGTTACAGCATCGCGAAATCAAGCAGGTAATGCGTAGTGTTGGAAGGATATTTAGGAACAAGCCAGAGAAGTTAATACCTTTATTGGGGCAGTTAGAATCAAGTCTAAAGCTCGAGGGGGCGACAACTCTGTCTACCATATATCTCAACCAATACTTGCATACCGACGGAAGAACACCAATCATTGTTTTTTTCAACGGGACAACCGATAAAAATATAATAACCCGATTACAATTAAATGTAAAGAAAATGTTGGATATCACTTCATATAGTGATAACGACGATAATTATTTTAATTTAAAACTTCTAGATGTAACAGGATCTACCAAAAAATTAATATATTCAACTAAAATAGGTTACTACCAGAAAAACGGAAGAATGCTGAATCTAATGGAAACCCATGATTTAATATGCAAAATAAACCATGATATAACCCATAGCCACGACCCAGTAGCGGATGTAATTATCACCAAATGTTTGTTTAACTATATTATCAGGGATATGGGACCAATACAGTTATACAAACTATGTAAAACAGATAGGTATACAATAAAATAATCATATCAAAGAGTGTCAATTCAATAGTGTAGACTATACCTATAACTGGGAAATCAGGGAATCGATAAGATTCTACACATTTGAATGGACATACTCTAGTAAAGTAATTAAGCTTTCAAATAAAAGTTTTTCCCTTTATAAAAAAAAAAAAAAACAAACACATATAAGACCAATAGATTATAGGATGAATATATAAAATATGTAATAATTATAATGTCTAATTGTATAAATTATAATAGATTAAGTATTTAACCACAAATGTATAGCCACCATGTACTAACACTAGAATAAGAAGGAAATGTAAAACAAACAAAACAAAAAAAAAAAAAAATGTATTAATATCTAACAAATTATTATGTACTTAACCCAATGTATCACAATTTTAAAATCAAATGTATTAAATTTAAATGTAACAAAGTATCACTACTTCATATAACAATGTATCACTATCTTATAACCAATGTATCATATATGTAAAATTGTTATAATACCGTAAAATGTTAAAGATTTATGTTTAAGCTTTTAAACATAAAGTCTTTTTTTTAGAAGGGAGGTGTTACGTACCTACGTATTTAGTAATTAAGTAATAACAATGTACGACGTAGCGCAGGTTTCTAATAGTACTCGACGATATAATTAATAAGGCAATTAGTATATTATAACACGTTAGGGACACTGTAAAAGTATCTCTCTAGGAAAGTCAACTATTCATACGAAGGATACGAGTCGACCAGCATACCAAGTACGAGACCCGGACGCAGTCTCATGACCGAATTTGGCCATTGATACAACCACCCACTCCAAAGGACTCGATCATATAAATACCAGCCCGGGACAAGAGCTCGGCAGACGGTTAGGGATACTCAAGACACTTGGAGGCAGGTCGTAAAACCACTCACAGTCTTAGTATCATTTTGGAGGCAGGTCGTAACACCACTCAAAATCTTAGTAACAATTCAGAGTCAGGTCGTAACACCGCTCACCTCTCTACATAAGCTTTATACATTGTAATTTTGTACTTAAATAAATACTCATAATAACCAAGTGCATCAAGTATTCATTTCCACGTTGATGTATATATCGACGTCAGTTGGGACGCAACATACTTATAATAGTTATTGGATTTAGGGCTGTGAAATGCCTTTAGGCTAATTTATAAGTACAATTTTTTTCATGATTTGATATAGGTACATTGCATCTGGTTCAATAATGCATGTGATAATATACTGCATTTTAGTTTGCATGCTCTTGCATACTCTGGGTTACAAACTGAACATTTTTTTCAAGTATTTTGGTTTAAGCATAATATATTTTTGTAGTTTTTACATACTTTAGAGTTTATTATCGAAGATTAGATCTAACATTTTATTGTTTGCTTATAAAATATATTTGCGGGTAGGCACCTATTGTATTTTTATAATTTGTATATTTGAATTTTAAATAGATATTTATTTAAAAATGTTTTTATAATTAGGTCTTCGTTGATTTTGTTATTTTATTTAAAAAAAAATTATTTTTTATTTTTTTACAATGGGTTTTTGCATATTACAGGATTTTTAGTGAATACTTTTTGCCAATTTTCGTCACATTAAATTCGCTGATTTGATTAGTTTAAGTTGGACTGGGTGTGGGTTCTATTGCTCAAACTAATGATGTGTGGTACCTACTAAGATTAGAACAGTTACCTATGCATGAAAACATCAAAAAAATCGTTTAAAAATCGCTTTAATCAATTGAACAAAAGATTATAACTTAAAACCTTTATACTTAGATACTATAAAAAAATAAATAAAAGTAAAAAAAATCTTAATTTGTTCAGGAAATTATGAATTAATTTACTTGACTATATCTCTACGACTTCCGAGACTTATCTATATTATTGTTTAGTGTTTTTTTGGAAAACGTATACGAAACTTATTTGATTGTCTTATTATAATCATACCAGTAATGACTGCATAAACTAATCGTTTTCGACTCATGATGATGAATTTTGTTAAACTTGTCTGATCAGGTATTCAAATTGATGTTTTAAAGAAAAAAAAACGTAGAAGCTGATATTTTTTTGTTTAGAATTTATTTCAACTCATAACCCGAGTAACACTAACGTATTGTTTGCACAATATTTCAATGAGCTAAATAAAAAAAAAAACAACTTAAACTTATAGGTTATAAGGTTACGATTTTCTGACTTCTGTAGCTGGGGGTTTGAGCACTCATACAAGAGGTTGTTATGAACAAAAAGACACGTTTGTTTTACAAATCTAGAATACCTAGTTGTTAATATATTTTATTATTTTAATACTTTACTGTTGGTCTATCGGAAGGACGAAAGATGGCTGTTAATAATAATTATATTGTACATTTGTACCTATACTACCTATATTTGAGTTCTTGTTGATGGTGACTATCGATTATCGAACCGACTGCCGTATGTAATTTTAATAGGCCGCCAAACCCTCATATATCACAAACGTACAACACAGCAAATTGTACGTTAACAATAATCCATTTTGCTCTATTATTTTAGAAATTAAAGTGAATTGACCCATGATAAAATGTAAATTTTAGATTCTTATCTAGAGGGCGTCTTATTATTTTTAAGTAGTTTATAATATGTTAAAATGTACAGTTTCAAAAAGGTCATAACTTGCTTCTTTATAAAATTATCAATAAAAGCCTCCAAGATGCCCTCGATAATCTTACCTTTAAATTGTATATAACACGTCAATTCACTCTAATTTTAGAATTTACAGAGTAAAATGTATTGTTGTGAACGTAAAATTTGCCATGTTGTATGTTTGTAAGACGGTGATAAAAACATGTTATAAAAAAAATAGATATTATAGTTCGTATACACCTACTTAATATGAACACATATAATACTAAATACATCCTGCTGAAATCAATAAAATATTTAACAACTTTTTATTTATAAAAATCTATTGACGACAGTCAACAACTTAATAAATTATATAAGGTAAATATTTTTAACATTAGGTATTATTATAATTATTAAAACTTTCATCATCCTAGGAGATTTTTTAATAAAAACAGTCAGTATTATAGGGAGACTGCTTTAATTAAAAAACCGAGTACACCTACCTGACGACCATCACAGATATGTACAATAATTATACATTCGTTTATTGTACATAAGATTATCTGTGACGATTATCATTATTTTAAATTCTATGAAAAGATAGTAAATGTTTATAGTGTTTATACCACGGACTAAGATATACAGGACTGGACACGACAAGGTTGGAGGGTGTGGGGGGGTTGACTACGAAATGTTTTACAACAGGCAGTGTTCGGGGGGATATTTTCCTTTTAGCATTACTAGCGCCGTCCTAGTGGATACTTATGGAACTAGAACACATCATACAAATTTCTAGTTCCATAAGTATCCACTAAGACGGCGCTAGTAATGCTAAAAGGAAAATATCCCCCCGAACTCCGCCTGTTGTAAAACATTTCGTAACCACAATATTCATCTCGTGTCCAGTCCTGTATATCTTAGTCCGTGGTTTATACCATAGATAATATAAGAATGGATAGGACATAAGAACTTATCACATGAAAATTTAGTGATACTATTTTTAAGGTTATATAAGGCAAATATTGATATGATAATTGATAAATAATAATAAATAAAATTTATA